CTCCGGCAAGTCATTTCCTTTTACGATAAAAGTTGTAGTTGCAACGATCGAGTGTTGTCACGACGTCGCTGCCGAAGACCGGCGAGTGAAGCAAAAGTGTCCGACTGAACTTGAACTGCACCTGATAAATGTGACAAGAACATCGCACTTTGCTGCTCCATTGACTATGAAAGGAAACGAGCGTTTAAATTGCCACATACGTTTTCCCGCAAGAACTTCCAAACAAATCGCGAAGTACGATTTCTTGACCATTCGTGCTTACTGGGGAAGAAATTTCATTATAGATCAGGGTCACTCAAATTTATAAAACATTGAATGAATTCGTGGTATTTCTATTCAATTTTTAGTGCAATAATTTCAGAAACATAATTCAAGATGAGGGTTTATATTACTGAACTATTTTATTCAATAACCTGAAGATTAAGCAGTAATTAAGGTTAATTCGAACGGTATTAACTGGTGGGATGATACCATATACATTGCAGTTCATGTGAACAGCTAAGTGCCAGTCATCTATATAATATAACAAGTGTTTTTGGGTCGCATAACGCTAAAGAAGGCACCAGCATTTGATTAAATATAACGTACATGGATGCCCTCTCAATTCTTACGATAACAAAAGTCACTAGTTGATAATAAGCTTAGTATATCTTTACGGAATCTTTGAATTGATTTCCCCTGTAAATATTTGGATATAGAAAATACTTAACATAGCTACATTACATAATTTCAATGTATGAAACCATATTTTCAATTATATAATTAAAAAATGATGCGTAAAAACTGTGCGTGTAGATCACAGATCACTACTCAACATGCATCGAAGGCTCCTAACTTGTCACAAATTTTGCGATACGGAAATAATTGCTTGGCTACCGATTGCATTACACGAATTCAAATTTATTAGAATGAATAGACACCATTAATAACTATTCATGTTTTACATTCTTTCTCCATCGTATTCAGACCCCAGTAGGCAGTGACACGGTTAGGTCAGAACTCTTTCGCACATGCAGCAGTTGACATGTTTCGCGCTAGCTAGGTCCTCGCTTGAATTGTAGTTGTCACTGTGATCTGAGGAAACACGGGCTGCGGCTAACAAGTTGTCACGGTGGGTAGACCTCCACGTGAAGCTGCTGCCATGTTGTTGCGATGGTCAGACCCTCGGTGCCGCACCTGCCATGTTGTTGCGATGGTCAGACCCTCGGTGCCGCACCTGCCATGTTGTCGCGATGGTCAGACCCTCGGTGCCGCACCTGCCATGTTGTCGCGATGGTCAGACCCTCGGTGCCGCACAGGTCAGACCCTCGTGTGCCGCACATGCCATGTTGTCGCGATGGTCAGACCCTCGCGTGTCGCACATGCCATGTTGTCGCGATGGTCAGACCCTCGCGTGCAGCCACGCATGAAAGGTCAGCTTCGTTGCAGACTAGAAGCGCATGTCACACCGAGATTCTCGTGCAGTATTATACGAAAATAAGGCAATTAATTTGTAGCCAAAACGCAAATTAACCATGTAGGTATTTCTTCTCCTAAGAGACGTACCAATTAATGCCTCATCAATACTTGAAGAAAATAAGTACCTAAGTCAAACTGCAGCAATACTTAGATGCAGTTCTCTCTATAGTTCTCATGAATATTTCAGTTCGTCTTGATAGAGCTCCACTCTCAGTAGAGAAAATCGATATCAAAATGCTGCAATGTTCCAGCTTTGATCATTTTTTAACAATTTTATTTACATTGTGGTGATGAGTTATATTTTACTATGCATTTTCTAAACGTCACTAAAGTCCCAAAACAATCCAGCAAATTTTAAAGCGTCTAGGAACAGATGGAACATTGAGGCGCCCCTTTGGCCAGCGTATCCAACATTTGCCAGGGTACGGATCAGTAAAAAGCCAAGCCTTTTTGTACTGATCAGACGGACAGCTTGAAGTATACAACTTGAATATTATAATACCAAACTGGAGATTATGTCTTCACTACTGGCAATGAGAGACGCTGAGAAGCGCAAGTCGAATCTTTAAATGGTCATTAAAATCATTTGTTAGAGGAGTTGAAGTTGAATACGCATCAAAATTTAACATAAACTTCATTCAGATTGAATACAATGGAATATTTGCATCTTGTGAAGTAAACATTCAATCGCACACTTAGCAGCAAGTCTCGTTCAAGGCAAATCGAATGAATATTAATTTTTTGTTCACAATTACGAGGCAGGTTGTGCAGGCGAGTCGGTAGCGCAAGGCTGACGCGAGAAGTGAAAGCTTCTCGATGCCAACGCAGGGGCGGTAGACCCCTCTGACGCCGCTACATCTTACGCGCCGAGCTACAACCATGCACAATATTTCTGGCCATGCTGTAGGCCTAAATAAAAATGGCAGCATTAATTATATGTTAGAACCTACGATTCAACTTTTAGATTTTTCATCTAATTACAGTTCCTAATTTATTTACCATCCTTGATTATATTTCGTGAGCTCGAAAATCATAGAACTCTGTCTTCCTGAACTACTTGAGTAAATTAGATGATTTGGACGCAAAAAACGAATAAAAATAAAATGTGACATGATTTTTAAAGAAAATATTCACATATTATTTAATTAATGTATTATGATCTACCCAGGTCAAGTAGTGTTGCAAAATGTGAACTTTTCGTGCTTCTGTGTTGCAGAAGTGACTGCCATTGCAGTGATAGTCTAGACATGCTGGTAGGCTAAAATTAACATCAACATAACTGTTCATCCAATTGCAGCGGGGAATGAGACTTTCTATACAAACTAATATTTTTCGCGAAAGATTAATTAAAACGTCTATTAATTTGTAGTGTAACAATTTTTATTAAGGAAGTAGCAATTTTACTTGAAACTGAGCGCTGTAGTAACCTCGAGCACTAACTCTACCACTGTCAGGTATCGACGCTAATTGCTTTTGCCTGCAACTGCTCAATTGCGCAATAAATTCAAGTAGCCAAGTTCTGAGGAAATTTTACAAGGGATCTGCCTTAAGTTGCGGAACATTTCCCTTATGTTATGTGTTATGTGGATAAATGTGTTACAAGGATAAACTACGCTGTAGCTTAGAACAGATTTGAAGAGGTAACTTAAATTTTGATTGTCTTCGTGAAACTTCAAAAATTTAAATGCAATTCCCATTGACATTTTAATATTTACTCAAGTTGGTTAAATGAGCAAAATAGATTGAGACTTTTTCTGCATTGTCATGAACGTTCTAATGACTTATTATAGTTGTAGCTTGAACATCATATGGGATGAGTGTAAACTTTATGATGGTAAATATTTTATATAGGTACTTTTATACAGTCTTAAAACTCATCAATACAATAATATACAAATGCATCAGTTTTCCAATTGTATATACGACTTTTAATTCATTTGCATTCCGTTTACACAATTTACAGTAACTTATTTAACAATTTCCGACACAAGTAGCAGATTAAAAAAATTTTATGCAATCGCAACCACATTTCACACAAGCGCAAGACCCGAACTCCTGTGTCTTCAGTTCAGCATAAACCGGTCGTTCGTTCCCGCTTACAAACTCCAGAGTTTTCATTCTCACTTTCAGTGACCACGCACACTTCAGTCTCACTTTCAGAGGCAACGGATGCTCCTCGATTTTCACTTTCCTGAGCCGAGCTCTGGGTCAACGAGCGAACATCTTCACTTTCTGCGGGAGAAGCCTCGACAAAATGAGCACAATTAACTTTGACAATGTTGTGCGAAAATATCGAGTTCCCAACTTTTAGATCACACTGTTTTATGTAATTATTTTTTCAACTATTGAGAACATAGATGAAAGATTTTGAATGATAATATTCAACAAAAGCATTTAATATTTGCAAAAATTTATCAAAATTTCTACTCTTAGCTTTCGGAATGTTGTGGATAGAAAATAATTTGGAGAAAAATAGTCAAAACGTCTAGCTGACGTTTTGAACTTTTTGTGTGAATAAAAATTAGCGGGACAAATAGCTGCTCGAACACCAAAATCTTGACTTCCACGTGTCTGACCGCATTACCCTTTTCCAGGCATCTCAGGCTACCCAGTTATGATGAAAATATTTAATCTATATGAAAGTTATTACGATTATCATGAAATTAGTTTGCAAAAACTTGCTAGATGCAACCATTTTCTGTCGTCTTAAATACAAGCCACACAGTCAAGTTCACATTTACGAATAGAATTTTTTGGCTCCTAAGTTGTAAAAAGTAAGCATTTAATTTCGTCATATAATTTTAGTACTTGCAATGATTCCAATGAAACCTGGCATCGTTGCATCGATAACAGTTATGAATTCAAAATGTTCTCATTTCCAGGTGAACCTGACTTGTAGGTATCAAGTAGGGCGATCCGTGATGTTTCCAGGGCATGAATCAATTTAAGACTGAGCAGACATTTACACTTGAAATCCTACTTCAGGATCAGGAATGCCACCAGGCCACCAGGGCCGGTCGCGAACAAATTTGTTTCTCGAATCACAATTCCTGCTGCATTAACTCGTTAGGGTGACTTCAACTAGATTATCTACGTATTAACCAAGAAGTAAATAAACTATTAGTTTTTCGGTTAGTTTTACACCATTAGCACAGTAAATTTCAAGTATATGAACCAAAATTTGGTTTCGGTAGCTATCATTCCGTTTCTAATGCATAATTCACCATTTCAATTATAGAATCGCTCACAACTCAAAATTTTTCCCAGCACAAACCACCAACTTAAATAGGATTCAAGTTAAACGTCAAAACATCGCTTGACGCTTGGAATCTAAATGCTTATTGACACTTCACCTTCCATCTCAAGTACCTAAATACCTACCCATAGCGGACCATAACTGGACGACATTTGAGCAGTATTCTATGACGCCTCTTGTGACAGATTAAAACTTAGTTTCGCCATAAGCAAGCAGACTTAGGTAGCCTAGTTAATGCAATCAAGCGATCGCCCGAAGAAATTAGAAACAGATGTAATCTGCTTACCTTGGTCGATAATTCATGATGAAAGACTCCAGGACTCCAAAAACGTTTAAAAACACAGCTGGAATAGATAAATTTAATCCTTATCACACTAACTGATTTTCAGGGAGTTATAAAAATTTGCAGGGCCAGACTAAGCCGTCCTCTAACCAGCGAGGGTAATGAACACCGGTATTTAATAAAATTCACTTCACATTAGTTCACTCTTAGAAAATTTAACCTAGTCTTTTAAACATCAGCCCTGAAATATAAATAATTAGAAATAAGTAGGTATTGTGTTCCGAATGTAGTTGAACGGTATTTAATTCTCATAAAAGTTAGGTCACAATGATACAATCGAGCATCGCAGTCCCACGTAGAACTGCAGCCTGAGCACGGATAAGCGGACACAACTTCACGCCGTGCCGCCTGCAGCATAACTGTCGCTACAAACTTTGTGGTGAACCACCCTAGCCGAACTTTGGTCTCTCATCGGCCTACCTCGGTCGCCGACGATTGATACTTGTGTATATAGGTGGTGTAGTTGCTAATTAAGACGCGTCATTATATGTATTATTATAGTTGCTGATTATAATGTAGAAGATTTCAACATTTTACGCATGTGCACGACGAAATATTTTAAAGATTTATAAAGCCTAATATACATGGTGATTTTAGTATTATCCGACTTTTTGAAACTATTCTAACAAAGACGTCAATAACAGAATTTTAACATAGACATCAATAATAGAATTTTACCAAAGACATCAGTAACAGAAGGTATTAAGGATGGTCGCAAGCTCCAGCCGATACTATAAAAAGTTTCATTTTTCTCCTGAAAACACCTGTTTCAGCACCTCGTGTTGCCACAGTATAAGGGTTAACTGCGTGAACAGGAGTCCAGGAGCGGCATCCAGTTCTGGAGGTCATTGTAAAACACATTTAGTTTTACTGGTTCATAAGCTCGAACGCGAGGCCATTAATGTCTTCTAAAATTTTCTCTTGTCTATTTGCGGTCGTTGGAGGCCGCAGATAGACTGGTTTGGTGACAGCATCCAGTCTCCGGCATTCTTATTTCGCATACCAGTCACCCCAAGTTCAAGATCCATTCTTCAAGGCCACCCAATCAATCAACAACGGATTACGGTTGGAAAGCCAGTCTCAATAGTCGATGGTTGTGAGAATAGTTATAGTTTGGATACTCATTGTTGAACTATATATACAGGTTCAACCATTCGAATACTAGTGGAAAATGTTTGAGATCGCACTTACAAAATAAATATTATAAAAAAATACTATACGTGCAATTGCGTTGAAGTTTCTTAAGATTATTGACTGTTTTTATTGCTCTCACTTTGATATCAGTTGACTGTTTTGGCTGCCCTCACGTTGATGTCAGTTGACTGTTTTACGCTGATATCAGTTGACTGTTTTGGCAGCTCTAACGCTGATATCAGTTGACTTTTTTGGCTGCTCTCACGTTGATGTCAGTTGACTGTTTTACGCTGATATCAGTTGACTTTTTTGGCTGCTCTTACGTTGATGGCAGTTGACTGTTTTGACTGCTCTCACGTTGATATCAGTTGACTGTTTTGACTGCTCTCACGTTGATGTCAATCGACTGTTCTAACTGCTTTCACGTTGATGTCAGTTGACTGTGATGACATCCGTTATGATGACAGTTGGCTGTTTGACTGAACTCGAAAGACCAGTTAATGACAGGAATACATGACAACGACGAAAATTTCTTCTCATTTCATTTTTTCTGTTTTTTTCGCGTTTGCCATTTCATATTAAATCCAGCGTATATGAAGTTTATGTTCATAGATAAATTCAAAATCTACTGCATGAAAACAACTGAAACATCTTCATCAGTTAACAACTTCTTATGCCTTTTATGGCTACTCTCATTGTTTATAGTTAGATGATACATACACTAATACGTTCGACGGGTTTGCATGAATCGTACACTCATGTTCGGGCACTGAGATGCGGGCCGATCGGTCCACATTTATGCTGCGGCTGCATCATTAGCAACGACTGATGACGGGTAATGTAAATTCCGGGTAATGTAAATGAAATAAAATACATTCATTCTAGAAATTTGTTAAACACAGGGGTAACTTTAGGATAAAACACATGTAAAGCAGAAATTTTAATATTCATTGAACCCAAATGAAATGAAAATGCTTTATTTTAATTTTGAATCACATTCAAAACTTAAGACATGTGCATGAGGGTCCAACTGCTGGTGTCTACTCAAAATATTATACGGAACTCAAGCTTTGCTTGTCGTTCTTCTCTCTTCCATACAATGTCTCGATTTCTGTCGCTTTTTAGCGCAATTTCTCATTTATGGAAAAAATGCACTATTGTGCTCGCCATGTCCGTCCGTCCGTCTGTCTGTCTGTCTGTTCGTCTGCCCGTCCATCTGTCCGTGACCTCAAGTTTTCGTCGACGAGAAAATGCGCTCTCTGTCACTCACTGCAGTGAGTACTGAGTTATATTTTTTGTGTTGTAACGAAAGCCTTTACTCTGCAAAGATTGTAACTGCATAATATATTGAGAGAAACGATATTTCACCAAAGTGTTATTGTCTCATTAGAAATCGTTCGTCAGCTCACTATGGCATTCAAAAGAAAATTAACAGCAGGTAATCTTCATTATTAACAGTTCAATTAAGATGCGCAAATGTTTAACTTTATTGATCTAACTCGGAAATTTGTCTTAATCAGCTGTATTTGCAAGTGCCTATATAGACTTGCTCTTTATTTATATGAGGTTTTACTACGATCTTTTTTATAAATTGGTATTCGAGCACAAAGTTAGTAACTTCTCGATGAGGAGACGCCATATCATTCAATCTCCTTTCCAAAATATTGTATTTCATGCATGAGTGCTTTCCTTTCCACTTGAGTCGCGATTCCGTAAGTCACGAGTGATAATACAATCGAGACGTGTAAACGAACGAATTATTGAAATTCCGACCACGTGTGAGTCTAAGTTGCCAAAATAATGGAACATCGCTACACCCAGGCTAGTAATCACCCAGGGATGTGATTTCTTACCCCTGATAGGTTATGAAAGAATTTCACATTAGGAAGTCAAACAATTTATCTGTCGTGAAACATATTTTATTCACACTATAAAATATGATCAACCTAACTTCCATCATTTCGCTGTGCGGCGTTCATTCCTCATTCTGCTTCAACCTATTGTATAAAAGTTGATATTCTTACTCATTTTTTTGCGTTTCCGTTGATGAAAATTGTTTCTTTTTTCATTTACGAAAAAATCATTTTCCGCAGAAAAATTATTTTATTTGAATGAATATTTTTTTACACTCACTCCAGAAGTAAAACCACAATGATACCTCAGGCTTTTAAGTTGAGATGCCCGTTATCTCCACGAGTTGGACTATCCGATTAAAAAACTCACAATTCCTTTCAGGTTGTAAATGGACTCCAGCATCCAGAGCAACGTATATTCCAAGCCCTAGGCCTACCTGTATTACATGAGGCGTCAGGGAGACGGCTTCCAAGATATCAATTTATCAGCCACAAGTCATCAGAATCACTCGAGGCGAAAAATCAGGCAAATTTCTTCTACTCACGTCACGTGCAACCTCAATAAAGCATTTTTACAACAATTACCGTGAAAGAATACTGCTGCTTCATATTAATCTACGAACTCATATAATTTCTAGATATTCAACTCAAAAATGTGTTTCTTAGAGAAGAAGAATTAAAACTGATTTAGAACAGTTGATTCGTAGAAAAAAAAGTCACTTGCGAGCAGACACATCGTCTCTGAACCGGAAGGCTATCAATTGAGCTGAGTTGGTTTCCCATCAACTAACAAGGCCTCGATTATAAAAGGAGCCATCGCAGTATCCTCATACTGCTACTTCATTTGATCCTGTTTTCGCTGTAGACGTATAGCTGATGCGTTTAATACTGATAGCTGTTTTTACTCCTTATGCAAGTTGAACTCCTTGAACAACTTACACTGTTATTGCGGTAGCTGTTAGCACTTTCTCTTGTCATTGATATCGTTGCTTATGTGACAGTTATTTTGTTGGCATCATAAATAGTACTGCTGCTTTCGCTTTGTCCACCGGAACAGCAGCGAGTAGCGGGCACGCTAATCTGGTAATAATTTAGAGCGCATATAAGTGCATGAAGAGGGTCAGCTGAGTTGATTTCTGTTCAAAAATATGTAAGGATGCTGAGACGAACACAGGGACGTCGGACTTTAGGGTTTGACTGCGCGCATTGAATGAGGTGGGTGGGCAAGTAGATTTCCCGAACGATCACTTCCAAAGCTGGGCTCCGACAGTCTGGAATAGAAGTTTCTTGACATCATACTAGCGAACGCTTGTGCGCACTCTGTAAAACTATAAAAAATAAATCAAGTAAACAGAAAAATAGCTCCGAACCAGAAAAAATTACTATGTATTGAGTAGCACTGTTTGATGATAATTTCGGATCCTATATAATCTAAACTGTTTTGGAGTTGCTTTCCTAAATATTTCTCGAAAAATATCGCGGATTTGCCTGTCAACACTTTCAATCAAAAATTTCGTTGAAATTACTTATTTTATTGCTGAATTTATCCTTATAACTTCTTGAGCTTTAATCAAATGAATCTTCACTTCTGTATTCCGTATTGACTGCCGAAAATTAACGTATTCCTAGAAATAACGCCCTGGAGAGGAGACGGAATCCATTAGAGATGCGATAGAAATTATCGACGAAAATACAGCATTGGGTCAAAACCTGGACCTGCTGAATCGAGAACAGGTGTGCAGGGTCAGAAAACATCAATATAAAAGAACGACTATTCAAATTGTAAATTTCTGTGTACACCAAATAAGTGGGCCCTTGCAGATTCTACAATTATAGAACATACAAGTTAACCTATGTTAACCGTATAATTAATCCAGTATAGACCAGATAATTGAGCAAGTTAGTAACCTGTATAGATCAGACAAATAAACCTGTGTTTACCAGACGAGTAAGCAAGTGTAGACCAGATAAGTGAGCAAGTGCAGACCAGACGAGTAAGCAAGTGTAGACCTGATACGTATGCCAGTGTGTTCTAGATACATAAGCCTATATCTAAATGGTCTAGATACGTGTGGTCTAGATACGTAAGCCTATATCAACTACGTAATGAAACTCGCCTGTATTGCCTGACAAGTACAAGACGCTCACTTCCATGTGCCGCTGTAATTATCATTGTTTTTTAAAAAATGTGTTTAATTACTATGATCAATTATTTACTGACTATGTCAGCAAAATATTAAAATTGTGTTTCAGACGTGAAATATAAAAATTAAAAGATGCTCCAGGCCACAAATTGTGTGCACTTGTGGACTTCCTGCCGTATTAACGCAGCGCTCGTGTTTGTTTTCATTACAAG